GGGTTCAAGGTCAAAGGTTTGCTTGTTGGAAGAGTTTAAGGCCCAAATATGCCATAACATGGAGTTTACGGCCAATGAAGATCTTCGGCCGTAAACTCATGATCTTCATGGGAAAAAGGCATGTTTCAATGTTGTAATTCAAGGCCTCATACTATATATGAAGTGTAAGGAAGGGTACTTACGATATAGAGGCTTGAAATGGTTGGTTTTGGCCAAGAACACTAGTGTGTGTTCTTGGTGTTTCTTGAAGATCTAAGAAAACATGATTTCCACGGATGAAATCATGAGATGAAGCTAGTTAAGAAGGATTAAAAACAAACTAGAGAAAGAACACTTATGTTTTGATGAATCTAAGATGAAAATCGGGATGATACTTGAGAAGATTTGGAAGTGTTCTTGAGGTGGAATGAGATAATGAATGAAAAATGAAGAATATGAGACTTACGGAGGGAGTTTATGGCCCACCTTGAGTTTATGGTCGTAAACTCAAGTGTTGTGGTCGTGAACTCTTTTTGAAGAGGTTAAGTCTTGATTTGTTGGATAGTGTCTCTAGCAGGTACATTCTAACATTCATTCCTTAAGTGTACTAGGCTTAAAACTTCTTAGAATGACCTTTAACCAGGCTAGAACTCATTACCAATGAGTCTGACACTCAGTTGAGTTGACTGATTAGATTTATAAGACAAATTTTCGGGTTGTCAATATATATATATATATATATATATATATATATATATATATATATATATATATATATATATATATATATATATATATATATATATATATATATATATATATAATGGAATGAATGGGCTCAGCCTCAAGGTCTTATGTCGGAGGTTGTACTGATCCTGTCCTTTCAATAATAGTTAAGACGCACACAAGAGGAGGAGACCCATGCACGGCCAACCTATCGTTATTAATCCACCACATTTTGAAAAATTCGGCAAGATTCTTATTTTTTGGTAGTACGAAGGGGGAATTGACCCAAAAATTGGATAAGGGTCAAGACGTTGTCGGGCGTCGGCGGCTGACTCAAGTGCCCCCCCTCGAACCGCGCAAAATGGTATATATATATATATATATATATATATATATATATATATATATATATATATATATATATATATATATATATATATATATATATATATATATATATATAATTCTTTAACTTTTTAATATTTTACCGCTTACATTTTATTTTATTTATTTATATTTTTTTATGATTTTTTTTTTGAAATTTTATTTGAATATATTTTTTTAATGTTTTTTATATTTTGTTAGTTTACACTTTCTTTACGTCTTTTTCTGAATAATTTTTCTGTTTTTTTTTATGATTTTTTTAATGCTTATTTGATCTTTTGTTTATTTATTTTTAAAGCTTTTTATAAATATTTTTTTGTATAAATAATATAAAAAGTTTGTTAAATATGAATATGATTAACACATATTAAGGATAAAATTATTTATTTTAATATGATTATGACAAAATTGCAAAAATGGTCCTTGTGGTATGCATTTTTTTGGGGTTATAGTCCAAATTCCGACTTTTTTGGATTAGTAGTCCTTTTGAGCTAGTTTCGTTGCGGATTTGGTCCCTCAATGAATTGAAATGACTTAAATACCCTTGGGGTATTTATTTTCTATTTTTAAAATCAGTTTTTAAATGTTTAATAATTATTTATTGGGAAAACTACAATAAAGTCCCTACATATTGGTCTCATAATCGATTTAGTCCCTATATATTTTTTTTATTTAATTAAGTCCCAAATACCGGTAATCGTATTCAATTTAATCCTTTGACCCGGTCAACAGGTCATCCAACTTTCAAAAATTACATTTTTGGCCCAGATTTCAAAATTTATTACAAATTTGGTCCAAAATTTACACTTTTGGCCCGGATTATAATTTTTTTTTACAAATTTGGTCCAAACTTTACCTTTTTTGCCCAAATTTTAGAATTTTATTATGAATTCATCCTAATTTTAGTTTTTTTGCAACTTTTTTTTTTCAAAAAATTGTTTCTAATATGTTTTTTCTTTATAAAATCATATTTATACCAAAAAAATGTATTTTCACATAAAAATCTTATATTTTCTATATAAAACTTTTTTTAAAAAGTTTTTTGTATATGAAATATCTAGTTATAAAAATATGTATTTATTTAGTATATAAATATATATAAATTTGTTTTTATAAAAAAATGTATACACACCTATCACCTTTATATATATATATATATATATATATATATATATATATATATATATATATATATGCACACAAATAGGTGTGTATCTATATTTTTTTTATAAAATCGTGTTTGTTTATATTTTTTTTATAAAAACGTGTTTGAATAATTTTTTATATAATACGTGTTCGTATACATTTTATAAAAACGTGTTTAAATAAGTTTTTATATAATACGTGTTTGTATATATTTTATAAAATCGTGTTTGTATACATTTTATAAAATGTATACAAACACGTATTATATAAAAACATATTAGAAACAATTTTTTGAAAAAAAAGTTGCAAAAAAACTAAAATTAGGATGAATTCATAAATAAATTCTAAAATTTGGGCAAAAAAGGTAAAGTTTGAACTAAATTTGTAAAAAAAAATTAAAATCCGGGCAAAAAGTGTAAATTTTGGATCAAATTTGTAATAAATTTTGAAATCTAGGCCAAAAATGTAATTTTTGAAAGTTGGATGACCTGTTGACCGGGTCAAAGGATTAAATTGAATACGATTACCGGTATTTGGGACTTAATTGAATAAAAAAAATATATAGGAACTAAATCGATTATGAGACCAATATGTAGGGATTTTATTGTAGTTTTCCCTTATTTATTCATTTTAATAATTAAAAAATGAGAGGACCCACCTCCCCCTCCCTCTCTCTCTCTCTCTCTCTCTCTCATGGTGGCTATAGGTCCGTGAACCTTGCTAACACTATGTTCTTCTTACCTATTTCCGATACCAGAAAAGAGCAAAGCAAGATTATAGGTTGTTGAATCACTTGGGCACATAGTTCTTCGGTTGATAAAGGTGGAGGTTGAAGGTGATTATGAACACAAAAGGAAGAACACAAAATGAACCTGGAAAAAAATCAATCAAAACCCACATCTCCATCTTCAAACCTCAGGCACCATAATAGTTTTCTGCATTCATCTTCTTCAACATACACAGAAATACAGACTTGCTGATCCAACATACACACACACACACAAAATGCAGCCATGGCGTGTTCGATCCCCTTTCTCGGGTTTCGATTCCAAACTTACAGATACGAGCCTCTCATGATATCGTGTTTTCGATTCACCTTCGATTTTAGTTCTGATTCTCGTGAACCAATCGAGTTATGGGATGATTCAGCTTCGATTTTATTCAGTGCCATCCTTTTTTTCTTTGATTCCATTATGGTATGAAAACACACATACAAAATCAAATTTTCAGAAATTGATTGTTCTTGAAGACCCATAATCCTTTTTCAGATTAAGACATTGATTTTGATTTTTAGTTCCAGAACCAAACCTAAAAGTTTGATTGTTCTTGAAGAGCAAACCCAGAAAATCAGCTGTTCATCCACATTACCTGTTAATTGATTTCCAAAAAAGAAAAATTGATCCTACCTAAGAATATGAACCCGTTTGAATCGATTTCCAAAAATAAAAACAAATCCAAATTGAGGCGTAAAGATGCAAAGAAAAGACGATGTATAACAATGGATTTTGGGGTAGAAACTATGCTCTTCTTGTTCATGATGCAGAGAGAGACCCTTTTATTTTTTAATTATTAAAATAAATAAATAAATATTAGATTTAAAAAAGAAATGAAAGAAAAATGGAAAATAAATACCCTAAGGGTATTACAGTCATTTCATTATTCAGAGGGACCAAAAACGCAACGAAACTAACTCAAAAGGACCACTAATCCAAAAAAGTCGGGGTTTTGACTAAAACCCAAAAAAAATGCATACCACAGGGACCAAATTTGCAGTTTGGACTAATCGAAATTCAAAACAAGTGTCAATAGCTTCGAGTTCAGTTTTTTTAATTTTAGAATTTTTTTTATATTTTGTTCCAAATGACAAATGTTAATGAGAATTCCTATAACTCAAACACATTTCAATATATTTGAGTTCTTTTTTTTTTTTTGAATTTTTGTTTGTTTTCGAGTTATATGGTTTCCAATTAGCCATTATATAACTGGAAACCTGTTTTTAAATTTCGGTTAGTCTATTTGTTAATCATATAAAATAATAATTTTATACCTAATCTATGTTAACAATACCCATTTAACTAACTTTTTAATATTTTTTATAAAAAAAAAAAAAGATTTTAAAAAATATAAAAACAAACAAAACATCAAAAATGTATTCAAACAAAATGTCAAAAAACTAGAAAAAATTATTCAAAACAACATCAAAAAATATAAACAAACAAAATATAAAAAAATTTAAATAATATATTAGAAAAAATGTCGAATAAAATCTAAATAATAAAATAAATAAATAAAGGCTAGCACAACACAATTAGCACACGCGTCGTAGCCGGTTCTACCTATAAAAAGGGCATAACCAGAAAAAATTGCAAGTTTTGCTATGTAAACGAGCCAAAATACTATCAAAGGGTAAAAGTAAAACCGACATTTTGGGCCAAACATGAGACTTTTTATGGCTTTATCCCCCATACACAAACTACAGTTACATTCCAATCCAAAATGGTAGTAAACTTTAGTTCGTCAATATATCATCACAATTTAAGTTAAAGATAATGTTAGATAAAAAGTATCATACACGTTTTTACATATGTTTGTAACACATTTTTGCAAGGATCGTATCATTAGGTGTAAAATATTTAGCGAAAATAGGTTTGTATGTGATTAAGTTAAAATATAAGTATATGTCTAAATGTGTCTGAAACAAATAAGGATATTACAAAGATTAAAACAGGAAATAGTAAAACAAATAACCCAACCATAGACGATCATTAACACCAGTATAGTTTGAAGTGCATGTTCCCATGTAGAAAGCTTCTCGGACAATCTGTTAGGGTTTCCCATTTTTTGTGGCGTCTTATTTGAACATCTTTCAGATGATGAGACCAAAATGTGGTTCCTGTCGTCATCTCGCTCAGCATCACACTGCAAAAGTGATTATTGTATTCATCCATCATGTCTCGCTTTGCATATACGTGTTTGGGATGGCAAATCTTAAAGAATGCATCAAAAAATGGGGATCGGTCCGACAGGCAATCGTCCTCAACTGTTTGAAACTCGAATTTTTGCACGTTCGTAGCAGGAGGAAAGAGGAGCCTTGTTCTCAGATCCTCGATGTCAATGTCGAATGGCAGCTTAGAGTTGTTCCTAGTTGTTAGACGAAGATCGCACTTTTGTGATAAAGTGAGGGCTTCCCTCATCTTAAGAAAAAAGTCAGCATCAACAGGAAGGTTGAGAGAGAGTGAAAGCTTAATATACCAGAGAGATGAATCCGGAAACAAGAGACTAGGCAACATGTCGCCATGAAAGTCGAAAAAAAGTAATTTTGGAGCATGCACTTGTACATCGATAAGGCTTTTTGGGCACGACTGCAAGGACAATCTCTTGATTGAAGCACATGTGAAATGGAAGCTTCCCAACATCCAAGATGTCAGATAAAGCGTCAAACACATGAGAAAGGGAAATCCTGATTTGATCATGTCCAGACCCGCGTTGTCCGCTATCACACCACCTAACATTAAGTGTGTCACATTGCTTCCTAATGATATCGAATGTGCATTTGAGTTGAATGGAAAAGGGTGTGGGTCCCACAATCGTGCTGAATGAAATAAGTCGTAGCTAAAAACACCAAGATTTGGGACATCACGAATTTCCAAGGAAGTAGATTGCCAACCATCTAAACCTATACTTAATGCGTAAAGACAAGGAAGGTTTATAACCTTGATCGTCTTGAACCCCTCGCAAGAATCAGAGTATATATTTGAAAGCTCTATCTTCACAAGCAAGCTACAAGACGACAATATGAGATTGAGTGTCTCTTCACTTATGCACACACCATCCAAGTGCAGTTCTCGTAGGGACACACACTTGATCACAGGATGATGGCTCGTCGTCATGCGAACGGAAACGGTCCCTCGCGAACCTAAAACTCTTAGCGTAGTTAGGTTCTCACCCAAGAGTATCTCGTCTGGCAGTGTAAACAAGGCACACACACTCGAAGGGAATATTGAGAGGAAAATCTTTTTAAGACAAGTTTTGGTTGACACGGAGCGTATCCATTTTTCAGCATGAGAAGCCAACTCCTGGTTCTTAATGTCGATAACAAGCTCAAACAATTGGATTGGTATACTGTCACGGAGATACCTTATCAGAGTGCGTTCCACATCCACTAACTTCATACTCATTCCTCTTCGTTCGTTGAGAACATAAAACCTGAGGGTAGGGATGGTTGACCAAGCGTGTAGCCATGACTTGGACAACACGCACGTGCGGGCTGCTTCTTCTATGGGCAACCGTGATTGTATGTGATGCATCAACTCCGCAACATCTTCTACTTCTCGTTTCATCATCCCTACAAACACATAAATAACAACACATCATCAGCTTTCCACATCTTATCTTATATATACTGATATACATACATACATATATATATATATCAAACTAAAACTAAAACAGTAACGCCATCCAAACAAAAAAATTGCACATACAAATCAAATAAAAAATAACTCGGATTGATTGCTAACACCAGATTTACATATCCATCCATAGATAGTCTCTACAGATTTTAAGAGTTTTGTCTTCCAGTTTACTATATATGCAGCAATAGGAATTAATCAGAAACAAAAGCCTATAAGACACTGCTTGAAACTATGTTTGCCTGCACAATTAGTCTTACAAGCATACAAAAACTCTTACGGTTTAATTCGGTGAATTCCCGTCCAGGGGGTGAAGACCGGGGATATGATGTTGACCCAACCATGAATTAAATCTACCAACTGCTTTAAATCTCTTCAAAACCACATAAAGTTTCAAAATTTTCTCGAGAACTCCGAACTTATAATAAGAAAAAACACAATCTTGTAATTTCCAGTTTAGTCGCTGTAGTTTATGCATCAGATTGTTCAAATCGAGTATTGATACGCATCAAACAGCAGACAACAAGATTGAAAACCAATCGGAGGGTTTACCTGATACCAAAAATGGAGAGACAAACAGCAGCAGCAGGCGGTTCGTCAAGCATTATAATTCATGATGATGAACTAGGGTTCATGTTTTATTTCTACTCCTCGTGCGTGCATCTAGATTCTAGTTATAAATTGTGTTTACTATTTTCAATTGGGCGAGATCATTCTTAGAGTATATTACAGTTTTAGTCCCTGAGGGAGTGACGGTTCATGTTTCTATAGTTTTATTTTTGTTTATTTTTGCTTTTGTTTTTTTTTTTTTTGAATTTGATACCAAACATTAGGGATGGCAAAAGAAACCGAACCCGATGGTGAAAACCGAAAACTGACATATTAGGGTCGGGTTTGGGGTCGGGATCGGGTTTGGTATGCTTTTAGAAAATTTTCACGGGTTTGGTTACGGGGACGGTAAACAAAATACTCGTCCCGATTACCCGAAATCAAAACCAAAACCGAAACCCGTTACCTGAAACCATTAATATGATTATATATATATATATATATATATATATATATATATATATATATATATATATATATATATATATATATATATATATATATATATATTATGTTCTTTGAGTTATCTTCTTTGTTGTGAACGATATAAAGATAATTTCTTGAGATAGCTTCGTGTTTATTTGTAATGTTAGTGTTTTGACATTTTTTTATTCATATTACTTAGAGTAATAGTGATATTATGGTTTATGAATGTTAGTGTCTTTATTGTTTTTGTTGCCACTAGTAACCACTTATGTATCAGAACAAATATATATGCTCTTAGTAGTTTTGTAAATTATCAAAATTATTTTGGATATGAATTTATGTTTGCATCACTAAGTCTAATGGTTTGTATTCTCATTTCATCAAAATTATTTTTAATTTGAATGTTAAACAGGGATACCCGCAGACCCGATAGTGTTTGGTAAACGGATACCCGTTGGAAATCGAGCCGGTGATGGGATCGATTTTCATATTCGGGGACGGGGGCGGGATTACCAAAACCCGTCCCAAAACCGCCCCGTTGCCATCCCTACCAAACATCTTTATGTTTCAAAATCCATCAATTTGGATCCCTTCATCCCTTCCATTAAACGTTATGTTTATAACCTTGCTTTTGTATCTTTTATCTTTTGTATTTTCTTAATAAAATATATGGCCCCCCTATCCCACCTCCTCCTTTAAAATTATGGTGAAACCATATCCATAGCAAGTTACCTATTTCGTAACCTTCTTTAAATTTTAAATTTAGTCGTGGAAGACTCTTTAACCAAAACCAAAGTCGAAGAAGAGTTATGATCCACCCTAATCCCATAAGATCTAGTATGCAAGAAACAAAGAATTACTATATTATAATTATATGTTAATCTTTGGGATCACACGTGAAAGCATTAAAAGGATGTGAAAATAAATAATATATTTATAGGTGATAAAGTAATTATTAAGGAAAATGACTTCAGGCTGGTTGGAATGATGTCATACTTGCCACAATCCACATGAACGTTATGTCGGTTTTGTCACACTTTAGCCAAAATTTATCTTTACATGACGTGAATTGTCACAATTGATATATTATTTTTTTTTCTAAAATTAATTAATATAAAAAATAAACATTTCAAAAATATATTTTTTTTAAATCTTAAATTTCATTAAACTTAAACAAATTACAACACATTAAAAAAATAGAATTTCAAATTACAGACATAGAAATTTAAATAACGAAACCATGAAAATAAAATAACGAAACCTAGATGTTATATTTTTTCGCAACCTCCTTTTTTGCTTTTATTGTCATTTTTTTCACGTCTCGTGAGAGCGCTCATGTCTCTCATTAAGATCGTCATGACACGATTTTTTTCTTTCTCTTGTGCGACCGCCAAATACTGTTCAAAGACGACTTCAAGTTATCCATTTTGGTTGTTAGTTGGTCGATGTCACTTGAAGCATTTCCCGAACCACTTGCCCACCGCTTTTCTCTTTCGTTTGGCTTGGTCTCTTCTTCCCATGGGACGAGGGGCTCTTGGAGCCTCAAAATGCTCCTCCTCATTGAGGTCAATCCTAACATGCGTATATGTAACACCTGTTCAATGTATTATTTAATTTATCTAATTTTTAGGGTTTTGTGCATGGACTCGGCGAGTTGGGGAGCTCCAACTCATCGAGTAGAGACATTTATATGGACGCAGGGGTTAGACCCTACATGACGAGTGGGAAGGCTCCGACTCGACGAGTAGGCGTTGTAAAGAGAAACCCTAATTTTCAGGGGCTTGTGCCCTATTTAAAGAACTTATGGCTCATTTGCAGCCTCTTATATCGTTCCTACAGCCACAGAAACCCTAGTTTGAGTATTGCACCTTCTTGAGTGAGAGAGAGAGAGAGAGAGAGCTTTTGAGAGTGATTTTGGTGTTGTGAAGGATTTTGGAGCTTGAAGAAGAAGGAGCAAGGAAAGAAGCAGTAGATCTGACATCTACTCTATATTGGCAACCATATTGCGGTATAAAGTCACTATCTTGATCTTTAGTTGCTTAGATCCCTTTTCTTTGAAGCAAATGGTCACCTTTGGTGCCAAAAAGGATGTCATACTCTGATTTAGTCTTATTACAAGGATAGGATTCCAGATCTGGACATCTCTAGGTCCCCAATGACATAAAGTTGCTCAATTAACCCAACTTAGAACCTTTCCATGCACTAAAACCTTGTGGGAAGCTTAGTTTTGATGTTTTAGCCTTGAGAGGCCTTGCATGCATGTAAAGTTTGCAACTTTACGTGGTAACTACACTAGGAGAGGTTGGATCTGAAGTTTGGGACCTTGGATCTCACTGGAAAGGACTGAACCGAAAAGTACTAAAGGAACTCGTCGAGTCCATTAGTTGACTCGAAGAGTCGGGTAGGGTTTACCCGTTTTATGGGATTTTCAAGTGATTATGTCAGGAGATGGAGTATTCAATTTACATGGGTTTTCGGTTCTCTGGACATTGAGGAACTCGACGAGTTACACAGGTAACTTGGCGAGTTGAGGAATCACTTAGGAAACTCGACGAGTTGTTGGATGCACTCTACGAGTTGAGATCAACTGTAACACCAGCAAAAATTAGGTCAAAAATAAATTGTTCAGTAACCATAATTGGGATATTATAAGTTGTAGATATCATTAAACCGTTAACGTACACAATAAGAATGCCTAAATCTGACTTCGTATGAGGAAATTATGATTTTTCGAAGTTTCGAAATAGCGGTTGACAACTAAAAACTTGAAATAGAGATTGAGTGATTTTTAGCCAACACAACCTAAATGATAATTGAAGATCTCGTCAATAGTGGTACAACGGTAAAAAGACAGACGGGAACGAAATTCAGATGAAGGAGTTATGAATTTTTAACGGACGTAGCCTGTCCCGGCCTATTAAAAATATAATAATAATAAGAAAGTCAAAAGTAGCCGACGAGTCTAAACGAAAATTGTAGAGCATAGTCTCACCTACGTATGGATATAAAGAATGTCAAAAATGGAGATCGTGGGAGAAAGTTATGAATTGTTGAAGTTTGAATAATCACTTCCGAAGGAGTACGCCCCGCGTACTAGGGTACGCCCAGCGTACTCCGAAGCAAGGACCGAACTCGGCCACGTCAACTCTCGGTCATCCCTCTCTCGCATGAAGGCCATGCAGGCATACTAGCTCGGACGCGTAATGGGTAGACCAGGCACGTACAATACGCCCCGCTTACGCATCGTACACCCAACGTACGAGGATCAGATCCTCTACTATAAATAAGATGCGAGGGTTTCGATTTTAAGTGCCAATTTCCAACCTCCCTCTTATAATTTCTTACTTTTGAGCCTCTCGATATTACCCCGACGCCCTGGTGACATACCCATGTTACGACGAAGGTCTGAAGCCCGAAATATTCGAGAATTCAGCCTCTTTCCAGCAGAAGTGCTGCCCGCGTGAAGCCTCGTTTAACATCAAATCATCACTCTCACCAAGTGAGTTCATACCCCTATCACTACATTTTTAAATGCTTTTTAACACTTTTAAGGGGGGGGGGGGGGATACAAGTAAACACACGACTAAAATAATGTGAAACATCAATCTTTGCTATACTTTTTATACTGTAGTTATAACTATCATATGAAGATGTTAATATGCAAAACACTTCACAACACAATTTTGTTGTATCGGGATACATATGTTTTATAAATAGAAATATGTTTTATTTATAAATTTGCATACTACATTATAGCAAGGGTAATCATTTCTGAAACAAACATATACATTTTTAAGAATACGTGACTTAATTGAGAATCCGTGAGACATTCGTCTTCACTATACCTATCAAGGTACTACTAGAAAGCCCTGTTTTATAACCAGAGTCTCCCGTACGGAGAACGTGATATGGGGGAAGTCATTATGTCTATGAAGCAGTTCAAGATTCTGAATAAGAAGATGAATTCGATTATTCAGTCTCAAGTTGATATAGGGGAAGTCATTATGTCTCTAGTTTAGAAATTGATAGTATGATGAAAGCATTCGAAGCCAGGATGGTTAATAAAGTTTCTGGAATGATTAAAGATTCGGAGTCTATACTTTTGGAGAAAGTGGATCAAAATGATCATAACAATGAGTTACGTATGAACTCTCAGTCTTGGAATTTTCTGAGGGAAGTGAAAGAATTTAAGACTGTGGCCAAAGAACGACATACGTTATTTGTTCTTGATGTGAAGAAAGTTCGCGAAGATGTCAATTTTAAGCTTCAAGAGCTTCGTGAAGACATGGAGAAAGAGATTGCTAGTGTTCAGCAAGACTATGCATCTCTCAATCAGAAGGTGGATATTATTTGTGATGCTGTCACGAAGTATGTTAAAATGTACGAAAGTTTGAGTCCTCAAATTACTCAACTTTCTACGCATGATAGTCAAAGCTTCGTGGAAATTATTTCTTTGTTAAAGGAGTTGAAAGAATTTGTTGTCAAGCCTGCTTCATCGTCGATCATTACACCGGATTTCTTATCTCAGAAGTTTACTCAGTTCGAAGCAGTTCTCCATAAACAGTTGGCTCCATTGTCCAGGATTTCGAATTTATTACCAACAGATGCCCCGCCTATTGTCACATGGGTGCAAGAGGGAGAAAGGAAGGTTGGTGATGGTGTTTCGCATGAAGAAGTCAAGGTTGTTAGAA